ACTTAGCAAGTCTCCAGAGTAGAAGCAGGGAGGCCAGTTAAGAGGTTATGGTAATAATACAAATGAGAAAAGTCAGACTTTGATCAGGGTGGTGGCAGCAAGGGTGGTCAGTAGTTAGATTCTGGATGTATTTCAAGGTTAGAGCCAATAGGACTTCATGACAGATTGGATGTGGATGGTGAGCAAGAGTCAAGGATAACTTCAAGATTTTTGGTCCAACCAAATAGAAAGAAAGAATTGCCATTGTTTGAACTGGGAAAGAATGTGAGAAGAACAGGTCCAGGGAGAAAACTAAGAGTTCAATTTTGAATGCATTGAGATCAGAGAGGGGGATACTGCTTTTCAAAATTTCTGAGGTGGAATCCTTCTGAATCACGGTAACATCCAAGGTGTGACCTTGGAGTTGGGTATCTAAAAGTGAAATAAAGTGAAGTCATTATGATAAAAGAATTAGAACTTTGGAGATTGAAAGGCTAATGAAATCTCCTAGGATGGTCTAGAATGGCGGCCCAGCCAGGTGAGGAAGGAACAGGGTCAAGCTGCTCTCACCATTAGGATACAGAGATAGAATATATATGGTTAGAAGTCACACAAACATTGCTTTGAGGTGTGCAGAATTTGAATCGGGTTTAGATTTTGAATCTAAAACATCAGAAATAAGCAAAGTAGTAAAATAATCACATTTGCTGAAACACACAAGAACATATTACAATAAAGCTGTACATATCCAGGGGATGCCTGGGTGGTTCCAACAGTTAGGCATCTGCCTTCGGCTTGGGTTGTGATCCCAGGGTTCCGGAATCAAACCCCACGTTGGGCTCCCTGCTCAGCGAGGAGCCTGCTTCTCCCTCTCCCTCTGCCTCTCCCCCTGCTTGTTCTCTCTCTGTCATTCTGTATCAAATAAACAGATAAAATCTTAAAAAAAAAAGGAATATCTCCAGATGAGGTAGATTTATATAATCCCACTGTAGCATGGATCAAAAACAGTGGATTGAAAAAGAAATTCAGTTAACTTGTACAATTTAATCTTAACTGCTTTATTAAAAACATTTTTGGAAAGACATTCATACTTGGGTTTTAGATATGTTTAAAGCTTAATGACACCATATAGCATTTTAGAAACCATGGTCCTGTGACATTTTAGGAAAATTTCCAATAGCCACGAAAAGTACCCTCAACCCTATTTGCAAGTCATGTTTCCAAATTCAGTTCTTAACCAGAATTAAGAAGAAACGATAAGGATGACAAGTCAGTCCTCTAAAGCAGGTATAATAAACCTCTAAGTTCAGAAACTGATATTTGATAGAAACTTTTTTTTTTGATAGAGACTTTTAAAACATCATACCTGGGGGCACCTGGGTGGCTCAGTCAGTTGAGCATCTGCCTTCAGCTCAGGTCATAATTCCAGGGTCCTGGGATTGAGCCCCACATCGGGCTCCCGGCTCAGCGGAGAGTCTGCTTCTCCTACTCCTTGTGATCCTTCTCCCTACATGTGCTCTTTCTCTCTGTCTTAGATAAATAAGTAAAATCCTTTTTTTAAAAAAAGGTAAATTGTTAAAAAAATATCATACCTGTGAGCTGATAGATGTTATATAAGCATCAGAATTCATTAAAGACTATTGAAATGATAATCCAGGTTTATACAGGTTCTGTAGATATAGATGGATATTTATCTATTTGTATTAAGACTTGCTTGAGAATAGAAAATCAAGAAAGCTTTTATCTTACATTGCCAATTACTAAATGAAGAGAAAAAGATGAGATAGCTATATAATCCTTTAAAAAAATCACTTTGTTTCTGAGTGCTAGTAACTGAGTCCAAGCTTTTAACTCTATGAATGCAACCTAGGTAATCTCCATGGAACTGGATATTTATAATTTAGTTTATAATATTGAAATCTTCTTGCTTTGTGGAAATTATATGTTTGTGGTTGGTCAAAAATACTCAACATGTATAGATTTCATCTTTTAGTTCAACAGAAAAATATAAGTGACATTAGTGGTTGAATTCCTATTAAAGTAGCAAAGACATTTCCCAAGCATACATAATTCATCTGCTGAATAGGAGATGATTCACCTTTCAGTGACTTCACAGGTGTCAAACAAAATAGTTAAATCATCTTCCATTCATTTTTTTCTCCGATGCAAGTTTTAAGTAAAAATTTTTATGAAAAATATAAAAATATACATATATAAGTACACAACATGTCCATTCAGAAAATGAATTTGCATCAACTTCTGAGATGTGAAGACTATGTAATGTATATTTTGTCAAAAACAACTAAACTGAGTTCCTCCTAACTAAATCAGGAGGGGGAGAAATTCCAAATCAGGGTTGCATGCAGTACTGAATAACACGAAGAAGATCGTCTTATGAAGTGGTGTTCAAATAAAATGGACCCAAGAGAAGAATAAAGAAAGAAACCTACCCTTCAGTGATCTGGACAACACAAACATGTGGCTGTGAAACTCAGGCAGCTGGTTGGCAAGGAGATCATCATCAGATATTCATGGCTCATGCTGGGGGTAGCCATGGGGAAGATCAGCCTCAGTTATTTGTCCTGCAAGAGTCCACCCAGTGGTTGTGCCAATGTACAAGCTTCTGACTGCACTGAGGATCCAGTCCCAGGGCAGCAGTGACCCCGTTTCTAAAGTAGTGTCAGCACTGGTCTGTCTATGGTGTTACTTAACAAATGCATTGTGAAGCTGCTGGTTAACACTGGTCTTGCTTTGGCAGCCAGTATTCACCCCATAATTCCCCTTCTTGTGGGAAGAGACAAAGTAGTAATGATTATTCCCCATGAGTCTACAATTTGAAGACCTATTAACAGAGGAGATGAATGGGTAGAGAGGATAGGGCTAGATTTTAAATTTGGATACAGGAGACTTAAGGTAAAATTGATCTGTACACGTGCAGCTCTCTTCCTAAGTGATGAGGATAGTATTTTAAGAAATTAAGTCTGAAAGTAATATATAAATGTATTAGGACAAGGAAAAAAATGGTGTTACAGAGAGCTAAAGGTTACACCAAAAATCTAAAAATTAATACTTTTGCATCACCTTGCAAAGAGTTTTGCCACACACCTCATTTGATCTTTGCAATAATGTGTGGGGTGGATATGAAAGATAGTATCTACACAGATGAGACAAGAAGCTGGAGTAGTTAAGTGACTTGCCCAAAGTCACACACCTGTGATTGGCAGAGCCAGGATTCCCATCTGTCACATCTGATCCTACTTCCATTGCTCCTAACATGATTGTATCATGCATGCAGGAACAGAAAGTAAGAGACAACTCAGAGATATTTTGAAATAACAAGTGAAAGAAACTGGCAATGGATTAAGCAGGAGAGGTAGGGTGCCTGGGTGGTGCAGATAGTTGGTTGAACACTGAGTCTTGGTTTCGACTCAGGTCACGATCTCATGGGTCATGGGATCAACCCCCAAGTCGGGCTCCCCACTTGGTGGGGATTCTGTTTGAGGATTCTCTCCCTATGCCCTTCCCCCCACTCGTTCACACACTCTCTCTCTCTCAAACAAATAAATTAATCTTTTAAAAAGAAAAGAAAAGAAAGCGGATAGGAAAATGTGATTTGCAGGTTTCTAAAGTCTGAAGATGATGGGATTAATAATATCATTAGCTAATGTTGGCTACATGCTTACTCTGTGCCACACACTCTACCACACACTATACTGTATTGCCTCATTGAATCCTTACAACTCTTTGGTGGAGGGAGAGGGATGTATTATTGTTATCCCCATTTTAGAAGGGGAATACGTGAAACTTGTTCTCATTTTTAGAGGAAGAAAAAAAAAATCAAGGTGTTTGCTCCAAGACAAGGTAAAGCTCAACTGGACTTACTGGCCTATGTTGTCTGTACTTGGGACCTGAGTCCCAGGGCAATGGTTTGGTGTTTTTGTGTGTGGGGATGTAATTATGCTCCCAGCCACGAAGTAATCAAGCTGGGCCATTGTTGGTTATGATGTTTGCAAGTCTAGCACTGCCAAACTGTTTAATGAATGCCTCTGAGTACTTCATCTGTCATTGAAGTAGGCTGCCTTAAATAGCTGGTTTTGCCTTGGCTCGGGACTTTAAAGTGGTCAGCCAGGTAATCCAGGTACATAGACAGGAATGCTTTCCTCCTTAGTTATTATTTTAAAATAAAAGTATAACTAAGTATAATTATCAAGTGACTCAATATAAATATTGAATTTATGTAGAATTCACTATTTAGACTAAAACTCTTTATTTTTTAGACTAAAACTCTTAAATACAATTATATTCCTTCTTAATTGTTATCAATCACGGTCCAAAGTAAGCCTGGTTTTGCTCTTAAGATAACCAATTCACACATTTTACCTTGTCCTGAGCCTGTGTTGGTACCCAGGGTCTGTCTGACACCCTGACTGTCCACACCTCCCTCTAATCTTTGAATTATTCTGTAAACTCATTTAAGACTATTTGACCCAAAAAAACCCTTCCCAAATTTCCTGCCTTCAATCCTGCTTCCCTGTTCTCTTTTGGTCAAGCAGAGAAAAGAACAATTTTACATATCAAATAAATAGTGAAAAAAATCACAAAGCTTTTCCAAATAGTAGTTTACCTTACAGCTCATTTCTAAAGGCTCCAAACTGTATCTCTTTAGGTATCTACCTGCTAGTTATTTATTCACTAGGCTGCATATAGCAGTCTCTTAGCAACCATAAATTTCATGGAAAAATCCTAACTCTTCTCTGATACCACCTGTTTTTTAGAAGTTGGCCCTTTAAAAAAAAAAAAGAAGGCTTGGAGTTATATAAGCAAGAAATGCCAGAATTTAGTTCTTTTTGAAAATAAATTTAAATGAATCATAACAATTTTTTACAAGGTTATAAAGTAGTTTCTTCCCAATGGCCCTTCACTCTGAGGTTGTATTGGAGTTTATACTGGCGGGAAAGCTCTGTTCACTCCCACGGCAAAGGATCATGACTGTAAGTGTCTTTCTTCCTGATTCACTTTAGGATTGTGAAGATGTCCAGTCCCAATCTGAACATTGTGACCTTACTTGGCAGTTGTCTGACTTACAGTAGTGTTTACCTCTTTGGGATTCAAGATCAAGATGCGTTAGGAGGAGGCTCAATGGAAACTCTCATTCAGGTAGGTTAAATCTCAAGTCTTTGTTTTGAACAAAATGTCCAACTTTTGACATCTTTTGAATCAGCATCCTTGTAGGTGGTGGTTATCTTTATCCTTGGAATGGGCCCTCTCAGAGATGATCACTGGAATTCTGGGAGACATCCTGCCCCAGTCCTATGTGGACCGAGGCTTTGCAGATCAGAATGTGGAGAACGACAAAGGTCCCTCTCATGCCTCTTGCTTCTGTCCTTTCCCCCCTGTAGATAAGACTATCCATGCTGTGCATTGGGACCTCCCTTGTGTTTGGCCCCATTCTGGGGAAGAGCTGGCGACTCTACAAGGTGTTTACCCAGAGGGTCCCGGACAAGAGAGTGGTGAGTAGTTAGCAAGTACATACCGCTTGATTGCAAACAGCAGCTTTATTATTGATTAGAAGCTAGAGAAGTTTGTGTCCAATTGCTGGGTAGGCCCTTTTAGGGCAACCTGAAATTCCTACTTCTCATTTCATATCTTTGAGTGGTGTGGCCTCCTAAGTCCCCACACGTGGAAAGCTATGTATCAGTGCTCTTGGGAGATAGCTCTTTGAACATAGTTCTGCTTCATATGCACCCCAGGGCTTGGTACCGCTGGTACTGTATAAGCTGGCCAACATCTGAAAGCAGCATGAGGGAGAACAAGATGCTGAGAGAGACTGTTGCCTGGCACAAGTGTGAGCTGAAAGTGGAGTGAGGGACAGTGATTACAGAGAAGCTGTAGCAAGTAAGCGGTTATTGCCTTTACCAGAGCCCAGTTCTTTTCCATGTGGAAGGCCATTCTTGGCACTAAGAAGAATGAGCCCAGAGCAGTGAGCAAGGAAGAAAATACCCGTTCAGCAGATAGAATCAACCCTAGAAGCTGTGTAGCAGCCAGATCACCTACATTACCCTGACATCAGATGTCATTCTGACCACATTTCCCCATTTTATCAGGTTCCCTGCCCAAACCTCAAAGTCTGATCATCAAATTCTTTGGCTATAGGCCCTACCAAGAACCAATATATCACTCAATTGAAATTTACTTCTTTGGAATGATTTTTTTTGCAAACATTATTCAGTCATTAGTCAGTGAATATTTATGAAAAGCTCAGCTATGAGTAACCATACTGTGAAAAAAATTGACTAAAGGACAAGAAATCCATCTATCCTTTTAGAACACAGATTCTTTTGTAAAAAAAATGGCTTGAACTGCACATATTTAAAGCGTATGATTTGATGTGTTTTGACATATGTATACACCCATGAAATGTGTGTAATCTGCAAAAGTTTCTTCATAAATCTTTATCATCTTCCCCTCTTGTCCAATCCTAACATCCATCCCTATTCCCAGGCAACCATTGTTCTACCTTCTGTCATTATAGATTAGTTTGCATCTTCCAGAATCTTGTATAAATGGCAACACACAGTATGTACTTTTTTTTAAGAAGATTTATTTATTTATTTGAGAGAGAGAGAGCATGCATGTGCATGAGCCAGGAAGGGGCAGAGAGAGAAGCAGGCTCCATGCAGGCAGCCCGATGTGAGACTTGATCCCGGACCCTGGGATCATGCCCTGAGCCAAAGGCAGATGCTCAACTGCTGAGCCACCCAGGCGTCCTTATACTCATGTTCTTAAAGGATGTTGTTCTATAGCTTTCTTTTCTTATAAAATCTTTTCTGGTTTTCATATAGTATAATGCCAGCCTTATAGAATGAATAGGAAGCACTCCCTCCTCTTCAGTTTCTGGAAGAGTTTGCGTATAATTGGTATTCCCATATGGTATAAATATCTCACAATAGTATGCTTCCATTTCTCCCTCTCCAGATCTTTGTGTTGTTTTCACTTCTACATATGTTATAAGCCCCACACAATTGTTACTCATTTTTGAACGGTTATCTTTTAAAGATATTTAGATAATTAAAATCAACATATATTTTTTCCACGAAAGTAATATTTCCTTGAATAGATTCATATTTTCACCTGCTATAATTTTCCTTTTCGTTTAAGGATATTAACATTCTCATACAGGTGTTCTAATGCTGAATTCTTTTAGCTTTTGTTTATCTGAAAAAGTCTTTATTTCCCCCTTCTACAAGCTACTTTTGCTGGATGTAGAATTACAGGTTGAAGCTCTCTTTTCTACTTTCAGTATCTTGAACTTTTCATTCTACTGTCTTCTCACTTGGTCTTGTATCTGATAAGAAATCTGATGTCATCCTTGTCATTGTTCCTCTACACATAATGTGCCTTTTTGCTTGTTGATTTGATTTTCTTATTATCACTGGTTTTGAGCAGTTTGATGAAGCAACCGATGACTGATGTGTTTTTATCTTACAAACACCATGAATCATGTAACTGGTTGTGCTTCCTTCTTTTCATTGGTCATCAAAAACTCAGATCCACATTTCTGCCCCAAATCATGAAGGCTATGTACTCTCCTCACTTGACCTTTCATCAACCTTTCACCTGATTTTCTCTTTCCCTTGATATTTTTCATCCTTTCATAGTATATATTTTTATTAATTTTATTTTTGTAGTTACAGAAGTAACATCCTCTTTGTATTAAGTCAAATGATTTGTGTATGTATAAAGAAAATGCTAGTAATCTCTCTTCCACCACTCGCAACTTTCAATCCCACCCTCCAAGTTAATGGTTGTCAACAGTTTTCTGTGAAAACCTCCGTATCTCTCTATATGCTCATATAAACATATCTAGAAATAATAGTGTGTTCATTTTATAAGACCCCTTAATCCTTTGTGAGAAAAGGCAGGATATGGAAAAGATAAACAAATGAAAACGTTTGATGGTGAAGGTGATGATATGGACATAGACACCATTGCATATCTTTGGTGTGTGTGTTTCATCTTTGATGGCTGAATGTGAAGCCCCCTGGGAGAGCTGGAACATTTAGCTCAGAGCCCATAGTAAACTGCAGCTCCTGTGTCGTAGAGCCACAAGCAAAAGAAAGTTATGACCTTGACTCTTTTGCAGATAATCAAAGACCTGCAGCTACTGGGGTTGGTGGCAGCCCTGGTGGTAGCTGATGTGATCCTGCTTGTGACGTGGGTGCTGACTGATCCCATCCAGTGCCTCCAGATTCTTGGCGTCAGTATGACGGTGAGGGGCCCTATCCCCGGAGAAACTACTGCCCAAACTGGGAGAACTGGCTTCTGTGGGTACACGGGGGTCATTCTCCCAGCAGCACTCACTCTGTGGTCATCCCATCAAGAAGATAAATGACCCAAGAATGAGGGGAAGTCAGGAGCTGTGGCTGCGGTGAATGCCTTGCCGCTTGTCTGCAGGCCCTGTAGACCACTCCCATGGCTCGGCTCCACTTGTCTTCCAACAGCCTCCACTGGGATGTCAGTGTCCTGGCACTGCTGGGCAGTTATCTCTGCTCTCACATGACCAATAATGAGAACTTTCAGCTACAGGAAGATGACTTCCCTTAGTTATTGAGAAGTAAGAGTAGTATTTTGAGGTGGTCTTTGGAGTCAATCAGCCCTCATTCCAGTCCCATTTACCAGCCATATGTCCCTGACAAAGTCATTTAAGCCTCTCAAAGGCTCTGTTTCCTCATAGGTAAAGTAGCGATGATAGTGCTTCCCCTTTCCTAGGGCTGTGGTGTAGATGAAGTGAAACAATGCAGGGAAAGGGCTCAGCTGTACCCAGTACATAGTGTTCAATTAATGGAAAGTGTTATAAGTTTCCAGCGTCACAAGAAGCTGAAGAATACAGTGGAATCTTGATATTGCAGATTTAATATATATACACTTTCAACTGTTAACCAACAGCAGAAGCATGATATGAAAATAATTTGAAATTTTGCTGATGTGCTAAAATGAGTCACTGTGGTAGCAACACACATGAGGATTAAACCCCACCACTACTAAGCATCCACATGTCAGCCAGACTTTATTATCTTGTCCTTTCACTCACAGTCACTTTCATTTAGATTCTAATAGAGTCACCTAAATGTTATAGTTTTTACATTTTTTAAAGATTTTATTTATTAATGAGAGAGAGAGAGAGAGAGGCAGATTCACAGGCAGAGGGAGAAGCAGGCTCCATGCAGGAAGCCCCATGTGGGACTCGATCCCGGGTCTCCAGGATCACGCCCTGAGCCACCCAGGGATCCCCTAGTTTTTACATTTTAAGGGGAAAATCACATGTGAGGAAGAGTTCGTGCTCCAGATGTCCACAAAGATTTCCTGTGTGTTGCTGGTAATTGTGGGTTCTCTAAGTCCTGACTTTGTGTACTTCCTAGGTGACAGGGAGAGATGTGTCCTGCTCTCTGACCAGCTCACACTTTTGTGCTTCCCGGTACTCTGATGTCTGGATTGCTCTTGTTTTGGTATGCAAGGTTGGTAACCACATCTCCTTGGTATATAATCTATCTGTCATCAACAAAATAGCCACAAAAAGGGAATTATAGGAATTAATGAGGTGATTTCTGCAAAGAATCTTGAAATCAGAGGAAACTTCTATGATGCATAAATCTCAAAGTCATGACCCTTATTATTTCTCTATTTTTTACTTGCTATGGGGGTCATTTTTCCAACTCTTTGGACTCCCTGATTCAATTTTCCCCTAAATCATGTTAAATTCACCCACTGTTTTTCCCATTTCTTCATCTGATTTTTTAATTGATTTGGTAATACCAGTTTTCTCCCCAACTCCCTGCAAGGGAGATTATGAGGAGGCATATTATCCAGCTTTATTCGTTCTCTTGAGTGCCCTGATTACCTTCCTTGTGTTTTTCTTCAAGATTTGGGTCAAAGTATCCTGCTGCTTTCCACCAACCTTTCTCACTCTGATTGGAAGGAGGGCTGGCCCTCAGACAGATGGCAACATCCATGGTGTCCTTTGAGTTGTTCCAGCTGCCTCAAAATGTCCCCATGCTACCCTGAATCTCCCACAATTAACCTCATTTGTCTCTGTGAGACAGCAAAAGTAGGATTTTATTTCTAGCAGGTACAGGATGCCTATACAGGGCACTAAAGGAGGTTCTTAAAACCAACTATCCTATTAGCTGATTTTCAGCAAAGGATAAACAGAAAATCTGGCTGTGAGGGGTCTAGGGCAGGTCTATTTCAACGAATAGGGCAAGTCCTGAGTGGCAAGAGGCTACCTGTTGATGCTCAGGACAGAGAGGCCCAGTTGACTGATTGCTGGCAGAGAAGGAATTTTTGTAGAAATGTGTGGTCTTTAAAGGTAAATTTTACTCACTTTACCACTAGGAAAGTGTTCAAGTGGCTGCTTCGGAGAAATAGGACTGGGATAGGGAAATGTTGCTCTTTTTACTATGTGCATGTATTACTTTGATAGAAATGTTTTTAAAAGAGAACACTGGGAAGTAAACAGCTCTTGGTCTCTAGTTTCTTCTTAACAGTTAAGAAAATGAACTTCAGAATATGACAGGAGAGGGTTTGAATTCTGATTCAGCCCCTTCCTAGCTGACCCTAAACCTCATTTCACCTCTCTAAACCTGGGTTCCCTCATTCCTAAAACGTGGATGATGACAAACATCCTCTCAGAACTGTTTTGAATTTCAAAAGATTAAGTGCACGTTAATAGTTTTCACCCTTTCCTGGCCTATGGGAAGAGCTCAATAAATGTTAGATATTATTATTATTATTAATCCTCCACTGCCCCATAGACTGTTCTGAAAACACAGTGCCTCTCTCAATTTCTTGAGCTCAAGAAAAAAATATGTCCTCCCCAGGACAGAAACTCAGCACTTACTCTATAGCAGTTCACTTCGTGATTCAAGTTTATTTATTTTCTCCATTGCCTTTTATATAACCCCGTTTCCATTTTATTTCACTGTAATATCTTTCTGAAGGACAAATAAAGAAAAGGGGGAAAAGAGTGCTAAGCATCAGGAAACAGACTGAGCCAGCCCTCCATGGGCTTCCTGGTCAATGAGCAGTTCCTGAGGATGACTTAAATCTTCACATTAAGGTCCAGGACCCCCCACCGAGCCTGACAACTACCCCAACCCCACACTTCTCAGCCATGAATGCCAATGACATACAAGTATTGGACATGATTTACTCAAACACAAGTCATGGATGTAGAGAGGCTTTATTTATACCAAGTTCTGTTTTGGCAAGAGTTTTAATGGAGTTAAAACATTTTGGAAGAATGAGATGTGAATATTTCAAAATCATAGAATTAATTTTGATTAAATTATTAATGATCCAATCTGCCACATGTCACCTGAAGGTGTCAGTTACCCAAAACTCAGGCCCTACTGGCCTGACTTGTGTGTCTTCTAGTCACTGAAGATCTCAGGATGGCCACCTTTGGCCCTCAGGCTCCTCCTGGGACACTGGGCATTAGGGACACCCAGAATGCATCCCTGCCATGTTGACTCCTTCAGCCAGTCCTCCAAAAAATTATTTGTAGGGCTGTCCTTGCAGGTGGAGTTGGTCAAATCATGTGATTTTAGGGTCACTGGCAGGTACCCTGCTGATACCTGACTTTGCTTTCATTATTAGTTCTCCCTCTGAATATCTATGCTTCCCACCCCCACCTCAGTCCTCTGGCTTTGTCACACCCTCTCTGACAAAACATAGACATTTGTGTGCTTGCCTTAAATCTCCCTACCGGACTGAGCTTCTTGAAAGCCAGGAGCATGACTTATTCTTTGTAACACCTTTGCCTATCGGCACCTAACATCATACTTTGTACGTAGTCAGACGAACATATGTTGAAGCTATACATTCTGTATTATTGATTACAGCTTTGATTTCTGTTTAAATGCAGCTCCCTCTAAGAGAGGAAACACTTTAAAGTGCTGTGAGTAATTTTCTCTGTAGTACAAGTGAAAAATCTGAAGGCAGTTTTAAATTCAGGGGAAAGAAAAAAGAATAGGGCCCTGGGTTCCTGGTGGTGGGGGCAGGGAGTGTCACACACAGGATGAAGGGTATGGATGAAGCCTTTATTGCCTGTGCTTGCTCTATCGTCTTGCTTAGGTCCCAGCCTGCCTTTGTTCTCTTTTTCTATCTCCCATAAACACCCACTGGCACAGAGCCACTGCTAGCCTATAGAGATCCTTTGTGTAAATTAGAAAAAGGCATCCCTTCTAGACAGATGCAATCTTGCAGGTGCAGGGCTTGGCAAGCAGATGGTGCCTTTGGGAACATTAGGAAAAAAAAAAAAAAAGCCCATTCCTCGGGCGCTGCCCCTGGTGCGGCACATGGCTTGACAAGCAGACCACGGGCTGTTTCAGCCTCTCCGTGCCTCTCAGCTCCATGTAGTGCAAAACCACACAACGGGTGTGGTCATTCTTACCACCAACAGCACCATGTGCCCACTGCCCTCCTGGGGCCCAGCAGCCCGTCCTGTAGACCTCCCACCCACCTACACCATCCTGTCCTGTGCCTTGTCCCAGCAGAGTCCTGTCGGATGGCTGACTTGCTGACCTCCAATAATAAACTAATTCCCAGTGAAAGAAAGGAAAATAACATTAATTTCGCACCTACTAGGTGTAAGGGGCAGCCCTTAGGGTCTTCTCATGTGCTATCTTAGTAAATCTTGCTAACAACCCTTTAAGGTAAGTATTATTATCCATATTTTAAAGGTGAGAAAATTGGTCCCAACCCTACTGCTCTTTGACACTGGGCCTGTTGTTACAGGTCTCTCAGCCCCTGGTTTTCTTCTCCATCTCCAGGGCCTGCTGCTGCTATACGGCGCCTACCTGGCTGGCCTGACTGACCACGTCAGTTCTCCTCCTGTGAATCAGTCTTTAACCATCATGGTTGGGGTCAACCTCGTAGTAGTGACCGCTGGGCTTCTCCTCGTGGTCACCAGATACTTGCATTCCTGGCCCAACTTGGTCTTTGGACTCACATCTGGAGGTATCTTCGTTTGCACAACCACAATCAACTGCTTCATCTTCATTCCCCAGGTATAGTCTAGGGGGAGAATTTGGCAGGCTAGTCCTCTGTCATTCCAGAGGCTTCCCTGGACGTGATGAACTGCTTGCTTTCTTTTCTACCGAGATTTTTGGGTACCATTTCTTGGAGAGTCAAAAGAAAGGCAAGTTCCTCATGAGCCAGCTCTCTCTGTTCTTCCCTCCTCGCTCTCCTGACGAGGACAACTCTGCTCTCACTCAGCAAGGAGAGCAGGCCCGAGTGGCTGAGCAGCCGTGGCAGCTTGTGTCCACCCCTGGCGGGTGACCTCACAGACCTGCCTTTCCACCCACCCTCTAGTCGACTCCACTCATCCCCAGTTCCCTCTTCTCTTTGATAATGTCATTTCTTTCACTAGCCTGGGAGTGAGGAACCTTTCTTTCTTTCCTATTTGAGATGGCACATTCACAGAGAAAAAATCATTCAGAAATGTACGTAATTTAAAATGCTTTTTCTTTCTTTTTATTAGAAGAAAATATAGAACATTTTTACCATAAGGAGAAATAAAAACTGAATTAAAATGTATAATATGTATAATATGAGAATTAAGGGGAAAAAAATCAAATGAGGGAGGAAGATAGAAGCAGAAATATCCAGACAGCAAAGAGAAAGAAAGAGTCAGAGAGAAAGGAGAAGGAATCCGTGGGCTCTGAAAGTGATGTTAAATTATTCATGTTATGCCCTAGGGTACCACTGAGCCACATATATCTGAGTTAATGAACTTGGCATTAGGCACCTGTCCTGTTTCCCTTCTAGATCTCTTTTTCTTCCCCCGAGGCCTCCTTCATCCCACTGCTCCCTCTAGACTCCATCTTGATTCCCTTTGCAGCTTGAAGTTGACTGTGAATGACTTCATGAGGGAGCTAACTGATAATTAAAGTGTTGGCCGAGGAAGGGTCATGACTGCACTTTGGGGCACGATGGTGTGACACAGATATAGGCCTTTACTCTTCTTCCCTTTCATAAATCTTCATTGAAATATTCTACAGAATAAACAAGTATGGAAAAATCTGTAGCAGCAGCCCTAAACACCAAGGATGGGAATTGCATCTGTGTTAGAAACTAGAGGAATTTTTGCTGAATCTCTATGTTATAAGAACTAGATGGGAGGAAACCATGAGAGCTGAGGCTTAATTGTCTGGGGCATAGCAGGAAAGGGCTGTTCCCCTCTGAGAGATGGGGAAAGGGATGTGGGCAGGGGCCTTTTGTGTGACCCACCCCTTAGGTTCTGTGGCCATTGTTGTGGATTGGTAACCCATCCATCCATTGCTAACCCCTTTCTTTCTTGCTCATCTCTACTACACAAGCTGAAAGAGCTCAACACTTGCTTTGCCAACCTCCCTATGGCTAGTGGTACCCATGTGATACCATTTTGAACACTAAAGTTTTCCTGGAAGGCTTATGAGAAAACTTTTGCTTTCCTAAAAAGCACCATCACCTATTTTACCTTCTTCCTACCTTGAATGTTTGTGATGCCTGGAGCTATGGCAGCCATCTTGTGACCACAAGTGAAAAGCAAAGCAAATTATATTTACTGTACTAGGAAACTATAGCTTTTCTCATGTAAGACTATAAATTCAGGAGGAAAGGACCTATGAAGACATTCTGAAGTTCACAAGAAGAGGACCCCAAACTTCTGAAGATTTGGAGAGCAAACTTCCTCTGAAGTAAGATAGTTCTTAGAAGAGATCTGATTTGTCTTGTCAATACGATTCAAAGGATATTTCCTCTTTTCAACTAAAGAGAACCATCATGAAAAGGACATAATCTTAGATCATGAAATACTGAATAAGGGTGAAAACTATTGTGTTAAACTTAAAACCCCCATAAAAGCATTGACGAGGCAATTGGACATGGCAATATACTGAATTAGTGAATTTAAGGAAACAGAAAACAAGGAGACATAAAAAATGAGAGATTAGTTAAGAAAATATGGAGAACAGGGACGCCTGGGTTGCTCAGCAGTTGAGCGTCTGCCTTCAGCTCAGGTCGTGATCCTGGAGTCCTGGGATCGAGTCCCACATTGGGCTCCCTGCAAGGAGCCTGCTTCTCCCTCTGCCTGTGTCTCTGCCTCTCTCTGTGTGTCTCTCATGAATAAATAAATAACATCCTTTTTATAAAAAAAAAAAAGAAAATATGGAGAACAGATCTAGGATACAATTTAGAGCTGATAAGAGTCACTGAAAGACAACAAGATAATTTGGGGCAGAAATAATCACCAAAGAATTATTAGAGGAAAGCCCTCCTGACCTAAACAAGACTATCTGAAAATTGAGTCAATCTACAACCTCCATGACGTGGCCCTACTGTGTTTTCCCCCTCTACACCCACCTCTGTCCCTTTTGCATCCTGAGCCTCAGATGTAAGACCTCCACTCTCCTTGGTGTTTGACTCCTCAGTGGTGATATTTAGGGACACTCTCATCTATACACAGACCTAAACATGCAGGACAAATTTCAGTGTCGAATCTAACTTCCAGGCTTGACCTAAGCAACAAGTACTTGGTCTGTTAAAGAGGGAGTAGAAAAAAAAAGTGGGAGTAGAAATGGAAATATTAGGAGATACAGGAACTGGATGGACAAACAGCGTGGGCCTTTCTCTTTCATTCTCTCCGACTCACTCTGCCTTTTCCTCCTAGCGGTCTTGAGCTTCCATTCTCTCACTCTGTCTTTCCTCTTCTATTTTCTGTCTCATGCTTTTTCTCCTCTTGAACTGACCATGATCTAAAACCAAAAAATAGATTTTCTAGCTTATTGTAGTTTAGGTTTAGGGGGTAAATTCTTTCTCAAAATATAAAAGGAACTGAGGCTTGTCGGGTTTTTGTATGCCTCTGAATTGACTTTCCCCTCTGGCTCAGTGGCCTTTGATAGAAGAAAGATTCTCCCTGTGAGACCTGTACTGTGTCTTCCAGGAAAATAGGACAGCTGAACATATTTGGAAAGGTTTGTGAGGAGAGCTGTATGGGAAGGGAGGCAGCAGGAGGTGGACTGCCTTCTTGTAGCTACTAAGCCTTCAGACTGGACTGATGGGAGGGGCTCACGAAAGCAAAGGCGCGGATGCCTCCGGGGCAGCTAGGTGGCGCTGGAGAGCTAAGTGAAATGGGTGACCTAACTGAAGAGGCAAGTGGGCCCAGGAGCACTCTACACGGACCCTCAGGAAATGCCTAAGTGTTTATGCCACACACTGAGGTCATCACCAGCAATGAGCCAGCCTCTGCTTTTGTGACCTGAACGCGACCCCATCCCTAGACACGCTCCCCACCCCCCTCCATCCCTTTCTCTCTGAGAGGCAGGTGGGTTCTGAGATGGGACATGGTTTTTCCCCCCTTAATCCCCAAAGTGTGTCATCTGCTCCTCCATGAAGGTGTCTACTCTGCCTTGGAGTCGTCTGTATACATCCCAGCGCCCCCTAGCTTTCTAAAGGAAAGCTTTCTTCATGTGTTCATGTATCTGTACATCCCACATTAACTGCAGGAAACCCGTAGTTCAGCACACGGCCCCACCTCCCAGTCTAGTGGGGAGCAGATGTGAGAGGAATTATAATACATGCGTTAAGTGCAGTTTGCACTTTTTGAAGCACAAACTGAAATGAGGGGAGAGTGGCAGCAGATAAGAGGGGCCCATCGGGTGAGCTTCCAGAGGCCCTGGTTTACCTGGTAGAGATTGAGAGTCAGTCCCACTGTTTAGTGTCCTGTTGCCACTATTGAGTAGCTTAAAACAATGCATATTTATTATTTTGTAGCTCTGGAGGTCAGAAATCTGAAATGGGCCTTATTTGATGAAAATCAAGGTTTCAGTAGGTGTGTGTTCTTTCTGGAAGGTCTAGGGGAGAATGTGTTTCGGCACCTTTTCCAGCTTCTAGAAGCTGCTGTCATTGACTCCTGGCTTCTTCCTGCATTTTCAGCGCCAGCAGTGTGGTATCTTCAAATCTCTCTTTCTGACTCCTGCTTCCATGGTCACATCTCTTCTTCTGACTCTCCTGCCTTCCTCTTATAAGGACTCCTGTGGTTACATTGGCCTGGCCCAGGTAATCTAAAATAATCTCCCCTCCTCAAAATCTTTAAGTCAGTCACATTTACAAGCTTGCTTTCACCATGCGCAGTAACGTATTCACAAGTTTCAGAGATGAGGAGGGAAGAATATCGTGGGGGAAACATTATTCAGCCTACCACACCCACGTAGCCCAGATGCTGAGAAAACAAGAAAACGCTTGTCCTTCTGAGGAAGTGCCACAGAGAGGCCCTGAAATTGTGACCTGAGAGTCATTTATGGCCATAGTCCAGAAAGCCAGAAGGGTCAGGTCTTAAGGGCCAGGATCCAGAAAGGGGAGGAAGAGGATTTAGTCAAGGCACCCCTGGCTCCACCCTCTAGCTTAGGGTGAGACAGCCCCGAAGCCCTGGTGGTGCCTTTACACCAATGTTGAGCAGTTTTTCCAGCAGCAGCCCTGCAGACAGGGCTCAGACTGGGAGTGCTGGGGGAGAGAAAGGAAAAGCTCTACTGCTAAGGAAACAAGAGGCCCTATGAGGAAACTGAGACACCGCAGCACTCTAGGGTGAGTGCCAGGAGAAGAACACTGGGAGGCTGCTGTACCCACTGAAGACCACAGAGTGAGCCTGAGGTACCAGCTTCCAATGACTCCAGAATAGCCACCGGAGCTGATGGCCCCCTGGGGAGGGGGACTTCAAGAAGGGCATCTAGAGGGGAGGGTCCTAGGCTGACCCAGCACAGACCAGACCACCCAGACTCCTGGTACCATGACAGACTCATGCTGAGTCAACAGAGGACCCAAGAGGACTTGGGTGAGAATGTATTGCAGTCGATGGTGGGAATTTAGAATCTTGTCAGATTTACCAAATTTGGGTTACAGTCCATAGTCAAAGCTTAATAAATGTTTGATGAGTAAGCAATAAATTCCAGGATCCCTGTGAGGCTCCCCACAGACCTCTTAGCATCATGTCTAGAGCCCAGGTACCAGAGTGCCCAGCGTACATGACTAGGACTCTTGATAATGAGAATTCCTTAGGGGAGAAAAGAAGGGTCCAGCGGGCTGTTGCTCCCCTCCCCCCCCCTCCTGGCCTTCACATTACTGGCATTTGCCACATGGAGACAAACACCCCAAAGGCCCAGGAGCATGCCCCTGTTTGTGAGGGTTCTATATTCACTTCCGTCCTTTCAAAATTAAGCCAACCCAAGCTTCCACAGATTGTTTCTCAAAGCCAGTTTCTCTTAAAAACCCTTCCTTAGGACCCCCACAATTCACAGTCTGTCTTCATTGGCTGTGTGAGGATGTGCAGTGTAGCACTGTGTCATGGTTACAGCCGGGGCCGTGCCGCTAACTAGCTGCTGAGCCTTGAAAGGTCATACTCCTTCTGAGTCTTTCCTCATTTGTCAAGTAAAAAGGACAGTGAGATCTCAGACCGAATGTTCTATCATTTCTCTTGATTTTTATTGACATTTGTGGTTTTCCATCTGTCTGAGACTTGATTATTGATTTGGGTTAGAAGTCCTCCGGCAGGGAGTGGGCTTTCAGTAGCAGTAAGCACACCATTACTCCACAAATGAGAATAATTAAGAACAGTTTCTTACAACTAAAAGCAGTTTCATTTGAAACATACAGTGTTTAGATTGCTTAACCCTGTGATAAACTCTGGCTTGAGAGTATGGCTCTAGAAGTATCCTTCAACTCTGGTTTGCCTTGAGCAGTCCAGCAATGGGTAGGTGGATGGGTCAAGTAAGATGATTCCACTTGATCTACCTGTCATCTTCCTTTGGCATTTAAAAAAAATTTTTTTTATTATTCTTTTCCTTTGGCATTCTTTAATAATGACCTTAACCTTCTCTATACCTTCTGTCATTACCATTTAGGAATTTTCCAGAGTGAAGTACCTTTTGAGGAGAGAATAGTTTGAATGTATGTGTGTATCTGTGACACTGTCATTCCTTGGTGTTTTCGGAACAGAGCAAGAGAATGTGTTTCTGGGGAATGTAATTAAATAAATAACATGTGTTCTTATATCTAACAGCTGAAGCAGTGGAAGGCATTTGAAGAGGAAGACCAAACAATCAGACGCATGGCCAAATATTTCAGCTCTCCCAGCAAAAGCTTCCATGCCCAGTATGGTGAGGAGCAGAATTACCACGCTAGAGGAGAGAGAAACTCTATGGACAGACTCCTCACAGAAGTAAGCTAGAGCCCTGGCTGCTGGATTCTCTATCAAGATGAACTCCCAGCATGCCATGGTAGATCTCAGATGTCTCATTGCTAGCATTCTTTCTTATTTTTCTATTCACCCACTTCCTAGCCACTCCTGCTTCTCTCAGTCCCAGACAAAAAAAAAAAAAAAAAAGCTCAGCATTTCCCCAGGGACCCTCCCATCACTGACCCTCACCCACTGCATTCATTCACTGGCCAAGATGTATGCCAGGCATTGTGCAAAGTGCTTATGAACAAAACAGAGTCCTTACCTTATCCTCACGGGGGTTAAAGTCTACTGGAGGAGATAGATGTTGACCAAGTAAACATATAAACTGTGAGAAGAATTATGAAGGAAGAAACCAGAATGGGAAACCAGAATAATGGGCCAGGGCAAAGAAACCTAATTTAGAATGGTTGAAAAGACTCTCTGAGCTGAGAGCTAAAAGTTAAGTACAAATTGGCCAGGTGCAGGGAAAAGCATTCCACGCAGGGGGAACAGTGTTGTAAAGGCCCTGAGTAGTAGTGGGTCCCGGCTTCTTCCATATGGTATAATTCTCTTTACTTAGAGTAGTGCCCTCATTTCCAAGATCTTATGGGGCCCATTACTGTCCTTCCCAGGTTCGAACTAGAGATTTCAATCATCCTACCAACCCAGAAAGTCCAGACGTGTCCAAAGATGAGGTGGAGGGCTTAATAGGGCCTCTGAATATCATAATAGCACCAGGGGAGGACTGGGCCAAACCCAAGCCCCTTTTTCCTTTGTTCTTGGGCCAGAGTTGGCACCTCTCCCAGAATTGGGCAGTGTGATGTGGGCCTGAAGAAAGCACCTGGAAAAGCTTGAGGCTGCACTGCCTCAGAAAGGAGGCGCAGGACCCAGAGGAATTCGTTTTTCACGCTAACTAAATTATATTTCATATTTTTTCAGCATAGAACATACCTGCATAGGTGCTATGTGGGAAACTACACTTGTTTGTGACTGGCCTGACCCCTGGGTATCAGTTGTCCCTGTGTGAGAGGACGGTGTGATGGGGACCTAAGAAACACAGCCAGGGAAGGGGTTGGCCTCCCCACGCACCCACCACCCGGGCTCCTCTACTCCCTCACACCACACCCTCAGTTTGGAGCCTTTTAATCCATCAGAGTAATACTTCTCCATTTCTTTGCTATTTATGAAGCATCCGGGACCTTATTTCAAAGCCAGATTTCTTCCTACCTGGCAAGGGAGTGAGTAGCATTGCCTTTGATACTCTGTGAAGTCTTCAAAGAAGCATTTTTTTCTCCAGCGAAACAGAAGGCTGGAAACTTGGCGAGAACAGCCAGGATGGTTTTTATTCACAATCAGCTAATGTTGGAACAGCCAAGTGGCCTGACTCTTTAGCCTTATGGTAATTTGTGATGTGCTTTTTGTATCTCTGCCATGCTACCCTGTTTCCCACGCAGTAACTGAATCTGCTCCATCCAAAAAGATGCTTTGAGGCTGCAGAGGAAGGGCCCTAATAGGGAGCAGATGCACAGGCAGTAAAATCCTGGCCGCCTCCTCCTGACGCCCTACACCTGGAACGTCTTTCCCAGAACAGGCCTGAGAACAGGCAGCCTGTCCTAGGGCCCCTTTGCAGGCCTAGAGAGCTTGCAGCCTCTGAGTTTCCAGTTCCAGCACTGCCTGGTGGGTCAACACAAGGATCCCTCCTGCTTCCGGATGTGCACAGACCCTGTCTCCAGCTCCTCCGCTGCACATCCCTTCTATGCAGCCCGCTCCGCAGCCCCCTCTGTCTCCGTGTGTCCTCTTCACTGTCCCATGATGCAGGCAGTCCATCTTCTCACTCTTGCCCCCCCCCCGACCCTGTGGCCAGAGGTCACCCAGAGGCTGTGTGGGCAGCACGCGTCACTGACTTGCCAGGCTGCGGGAAGGCCAGCAGAGAGAACCTTCCCAGAGGTTGAAGAACCTCCCTTCTACACTCCAGCAGAGGAAGTTCACCGGCTCGTTTTCTTCCTTGAAGCACAGAGACAAGAGGGTGACTCCATTTCTCCATATGGCCTGCATCTCGTGAAACACACCTGTGGATGTTTTGCTTCCCCAGATGTTCCAAAAGTAATAATTAATAAGCTCATTTAAATGTAGCTGCCACGGTAGGTCCGATTTTGGTCGCAATGGCAATGCCTCACACCACGCCTTTAATTAGTAGGCAGCCTCGGCGAAGACCAGAGTCCCACTTCCTTTTCTGGAACAAGGGAAATTTACTGTTTAGGTTGACGTTTCTAAATCCGTCACCAGTCAGCTTCAGATGTTTGGTTTGTTGGAAGAAAAGTATTCTTCCCAACTCAGTGTTTACCCTATTTTTCTACACAGAGGAATTTGTGGCACAAAAACTCAGCGCTAGGAGTTCACTCACTGGGGTGGTTGTCGTCAGCTGATGGCTTCCTCCTAACTCGATGGGGCAGTGGCGACCTCCTGAAACCAGTATGAGAGAGTGCGGGGTGGGCTTCAGGGGGAGGGGCTGGTGAGGAGGAAGAGGGTTGGGGTCCCTCCTGGGCAGCCAGCTCAGTCATGCCCATGAGATTCTCAGAAAGATAGCTGGCACCGCCCAGATATCATGAAGAGCCCGAGTGAATGGTGTGGTCTTACTCATCCGCTCTGCTCCTGGTGAGTCCCTGAGTCATCTACTTCCCCCGGCCTTACCACTCTGCAGGTGAGCAAGGGGAGGATGGAGGCAGCAGCGGGAGGAGGCAGGTGCTCAGCTGCGAGTCCCTTCCGCTTATTCACCAGTTACTCACTGGTCCTGGACTGTCTTCTGATGATAAAAGAAGGAGACTAAGCCAGGAGGACACTGGAGTACCAATATTTGGAAAATCACCCTCCTGCTTATAATAGAGAATGGGAGACCTGCTTAGAGTTGCTGCCAGAGGACTGTCCTGGACTAGTTTACTTAAGTTACTGCTCCCTTAAAGGGTCACTTCTGGGCAACACTCCCATATCAACTTGAAAAAAATATAGGTCCAGTCCACAGGTGACTTGCTTCAGGTAGCCTAAAGAAGGGAAACCTTTTATTTCTAGGGTATAATAAATGGAGGTCCAGATGCTCCCCCTCAGCTTCTAGAGAGGATGACAACAAGGAGGTAACATTGGGTATTTGGACTCGCACTTCCTGGAATTTAGTGTTGTGTTATTACCCCCACACTCTGTACCCTGAATTGTCTTCCCCAAGATCATCCATTCTCCTCTGTGCTCCACTACTTTTGAACATCAGAGACCTCAGAAGGTGGACAGGAGTTCTGAGCTAGACAATCACCTGCTGCACCAGCAGAGGCTGCTCAGAGCACACCCACCAGCGCCCCTTCCTCCTCCTTCCTGCCCCCGATCTTGCAGTTAGGACAGGCACACCGCAGCAGCTCTCACCTGCCAGCCCTCCCGGTGCAGCCTGTTTATCAGGCTGACAGCCGTGCAGCAGGTAGGCTGCTCCACAGAACTGCCCCAGGCTCATTCATGGAGGCTCCATGCTAGATCTACTATCAAATCAGATCTACTATCTTAAATCAAGCTATCAGAGATTTAGTCCCAACTATTCCATTACAAAGAAAAAAAGTTTCTCCAATAATTCTGGTGCCAGCTCTTCTTTAGCAGATACCAACAGCTAACAGTGCCACGTGGTAGCTTTGGCGCCCACCCCTGAGGTCCAGCCCGGGGAGGTGATCACACCAACCTGAGAATCTTGTTGCACCCCTCCCGACCCCTAGCTCCAGTCTTGTCTCTTTGGTGCAAGAATTTCCACTCTTCTCCGTGTTCCTCCCCAATTTTCTGGTCTGTTTAGCAAGAGGCAAAATACATATTTTCTCATTCATCCATCCCCTTGAGATATTCCTGAAATTTATCTGTATTTTGCAAAACTGTGATAAACCCCCGAGTTGGGCCATCTCAAACATTATCCAGAATGTGTCCCACAGAGCGATCTGACCCTCTAAGTTCTGAGGAAAGGGGAGAGGGCATTGCAGCAGCCAGCAAACAGCTCCTGTGCCTCCTCTGACTTCCCTTCTCACAGACAGTGCCACGCAGTCTGGGGATGGGGGCGGGGGGGGGGTAAGATCACCCAACGGTAAGCCCTGGCTAACCTTTTGTGAGCACCGGTATTGCGCTAAGCACTTCACTCCCATCCTCAGAGCCTGAGATCACCAGCCAGGACGCCGAGGGACTAGGATTCAGACGGAGGTTGTGGAGCCACGCTTTCTCCAGCTTGGGAAACAATGTAAAAAGCCTCGGAGGCATCTTTATTGATGGTTTCGCTTTTGTTTCGCAGAAAAATGCTATGATTGAAAGCCTGCAGGAACAAGTAAACAACGCCAAAGAGAAGCTAGTGAGGCTGATGTCCGCCGAGTGCACCTTGGACCCCCCAGAGCGCGCGGCCTCTCCCGACTCTTCCCGCAGCAGGAGCCGCCCGCTTGCAGCCTCTGCCCACAGCCTGGCAGCTCCAGCGCCTTCGCAAGGCCCCTCTGACCCTCAGGACGATACCAGTGTGGCCCCCCGGGGCTCCCGGAGCACCTCAGTGTCCTCCTCAAATGGACAAAGCCTGGAAGGGAAGGTCAAGGACACCAGCTCCTCTCCGGGGCACAAGGAGAAAACCTCTAATTTGGAAGACTTTTCTGATCATTTAAATTTGGGCTGCAGCCAGAAGCCACGGCCCAAGCAAAGCCAAGGTGAAGAAGGAAGAGCCCAAGTACCCATGGCCCCCCACCAGAGCCTCATACCCGGTGACGAAGGCCCCGGGGCCCGGAGACAGGGGCAGCTGGAAGACTCAGAGGAGCCCCACAAGCGGCTGTCAAGGGTCAATTCAGTCATCAGGGAGAAGCTTCAGGAAGTCCTACGGGATCTGGGCCGGGGCCCCGAGGCCCCCCTCCCCTCACCCCTGCCTTGTCCCCTGCAGCCCTGGCCAAGCAGTGCCACCCACGGCCCCCAGCAGGTGCCCCCCTCCAGGGAGCTGGGCTGCAGCCCACACGTGGTGAGGAGCCGGCGGGCAGCATTGCGGGCTCACCCCCCCTTTCCGGGCTCTGTACCTTCCTACGTGGGGCATCGTGCAAATCGGACTGTGTCTGGGGTGCGCAGTGGGCGGCTAACCGTGCAGAACAGGGGCAGCGCCAGCCTGGCCCCGCAAAGTGCTGAGCCCAGAGCCCCCAGACCCTCTTCTGGGAAGACTTCCCTACCCGCAGATCCCCAGGGTAAGCCGGGGCCCCCGCAGGGCGGCAAACAAAGCGGGACAGAGCCCCGGGGGCCTAGCGGGGGCCAGGCAGCCTGTCCTTACCGGCCTCCTGGCCCTGACCAGGCGCAGTATCCCGCGGCCCCACACCTGTCCAGGGCCGCGCCAGGTGTTCCTGAGCGGCGGCAGCTGCTGGCCCCGGGCTCCGCGCGCGGCCCCTACCTGGACACGGAATCCAGCAGTTCGGACGAGCTCTTCTGCCGCTGCCACCGGCCCTACTGTGAAATCTGCTTCCAGAGCTCCTCTGACTCCAGTGGCAGTGGCTCGTCCGACAGTGACCCTGACCCCGCCGGAGGGCTGGCTTCCTGGGAAAAGCTGTGGGCCTGCTCAAAGCCTATCGTGAACTTCAAAGATGACTTGAAACCCACACTGGTGTGAAAAGCGTGCGGAGTGGGTCCGGATCTAGAGGTGGGTTCAGGACAAGCCCCACCAAGGCCCGCAGGTGGAAGGCCAGCTCTGGCCTTTGGGGAACACACCGCGCCCTGAATTGATCGAGCCTTTACCACGTCTCAGCTCTGCTCCCTTGAGCACCGTGCTACCCTGAGCACTTCTCCGTTTATCAAAAGAGGGGTATTGCCTGTCTTGTTACTACCTCACAGCATTCCTATAAAAGACTCTGGTTGAGTGACGATAAAAAAATAACTTTTAGAAAAAAGGTGCTAAATGAGCACAGACAGTCTTCTGTCCTGGTCAGTCTGTATTCTATAAAACACTTCATATATACCAAGTGGAAAACTGTGTAGACCTACGGATGGAGAGATGAAAGTTTCTGCAGAACCAGAGTTGTAGATGTACAACTGTTTGTATCCATCAAACTGGCCTTCTGATGGATAGACTTGCTAGGAAGGAAGTCTCATATTCTTGGGTACCCCACTCTTGGCATGGGATGGTTTTATTTCTGCTGAAGCTTGTGAACAACACCACCCCTCATTGCCAGCTTCTGGCCAGACTCAGAGTCCCCTTTACACCACTATTTGAGGTGCAAGTCTTTCTGCCATGATGGCATCTCACCCATCATCCCTGAGCCTGTCAGGTCTCCATGTGTGCATAGGCTGCCCAGGTCCTGCTCCTGAACTCAGATGACACCAGGGGCCCAGACCACCTCCTGGTCCCTGTGGCCCATCCCTCTGACTCTTCAGCAGTACAGTTTTGTACTGGGCAGGGGCAAGGGGTGGGAGAAGCATACACTGGCAATTTCTGATGGGGTAGGTAGGAGAGGCTCTAGGCTCTGTTTATCAAGAGCCCCTGTTTTGGTGCTGTTGGGATTACATGACCACCAAAAGCTACATAAACCTGGAAATAGAAAATGGGGAAACATGAAGAAATGGGGGAGAAGGCAGGAAAGAAAATAGGTTTTGAGTATTTAACTTGCATCTAGCATGGTACTTGACGATATAAAATTTCAGTAATTCCTTATGATAACCCTGTGAAGTAGGCACTCTTGTTCCCATTTCACAGATGGGAAATATGAGGAATTTGAGGCTTAGAGAACTGAGGTAACGTCCCCAGACATCACACTGCTAGAGAATGGCCCCCAGGGGACTTGCGGGACTCCCAAGTTGGCAGATTTCCCTGAGGGCATGTCACTTCACTCATTCTCCTGGGAGTGGCCAGCAGGGCTTAGCAGGCCAGACAGCGGAGCAAGTGCAGCGTAGGAAGGCCATGAGGTGCTCACCCTGCAGTTCCAGAAGACAGAACTGGGTTCCTGGCCTCAGGCAGCAGCCTTCCACTGCCTCGCTGCCCCAGGGGCCCACACTCACTCCTAAGGGAGCGAGGGAGTTGGTGGAGAGTGAGTGCCAGGAACTTAAGCGCCACCAGTGCCACAGGGAAAATGCAACTGGGTTCACTTTGCTTTAAGCAACTGTTGTTTACAGGCTGTCCCCTGCCCCCACTCACTGTGTGTTTGTCTTTGCATATACATGTTTGTGTGCAGGAGTTTGGGCCTCATTAGATATGCACGGAAGGGGGTGTTTGGCTCCAAATGTCTCACAGAAGATTTATCCGGAACTCTCAGGGCTGCCGACACTTCATGAATCTCCAGACACTGGACTGGGAAGCCCTTCTGGTGACACGGATTCCTCTATCGTTTACTTTTAAATACAAATGTCATAATTTATTCTGTGTGTGGGTTTGTAGTTTCTACTTGTGCTGTTTGTATGCTGTCCAAGTGATACCTTAATAAACGAGAAATGGCTCCCCAAGCAAGTCTCTTCAGAAAGTGTCGTCTCATGCCGCAGAGGAGAGAAACAAGGAAGAGTGAACCACCAAGGGAGTGGACATGGAGCAGCGGTCAGAGTTGCCCCTGGCTCACAACAGGTTCCAACTATGTCTTCTACCAAACTTGCGTTTGTAACAGATTCTTCTGTGGTCTCCCTGTGTGGCTTCCTATCCCAGAAACACCTGCCCCAGGGGTTAGAGGAAACTATGGAGAACCTCGACTCTTCCCGTGGCAGGGGCTCCTGTGGTTGGGCTTCACCCCCTTCAGCTTCTTTCCTCCTAGTATGTCACCCCTAGTGGCCTCCCAGTCATTAACGTGGACTGCAGGCTCTACGCCTGGCAATCCTTCTTGCCTTCTTGCTCTGCAACTATACCCTTGGTCCCACCATCTCAGCACTTACACATCTCCATCCCTCTTTGTCTAGAATTTCTTTCTCCACTTTGCACACCTTGTAAGTTATTCGTCCTTCAAGACTCAAGAGTCTTGAATGCCCCCAAATACAATGGACTGATCCCCTAGTTAAAGAAGGATATTTTGGGGTCCACATTTTGAATTCAGTGACTTTGTAACTTTTGATAGATTTGATTGAAGAGATGGAGAATCTACCCTGAATTGTCCTTGTTTATCATCTGGTTCAAAAACTATGTGCCAAGGGGCATGTGGGTGGCTCAGTTGGTTAAGCATCTAACTCTAGATTTCAGCTCAGATCATGGTGTTGTGTGTCATCGGATTGAGCCCTGTGTTGGGCTCATGCTCAGCAGGGAGTCTGCTTAAAGATTCTCTCCTTCCCCTGCCCCTTCCCCATCACACTTGCTTGAGTTCTCTCTCTTTCTCTCAAATAAATAAATCTTAAAACACACACATACACACACAACTATGTGTCCAATATCATGATTGCCTGCCTCAACTACTGTCTCCAAATCTATTGTTTACTCTGTACCCACCCCCACTCCTCACTAGTTCCTTTCCTAGGTCTTTTACCCAAAACCAGCTAATCCAGTGATGAAATTCTTAAAGGGATGAGTGTGTCATGACTTGTGGAAGCTCTTGACTATTATGCCCTTGGATAAAGGGCAAGAACTTCTGCAAATGAATCCCGGAGAAGGAAACACTGCATCTACTACTGCGTTCTGGGTCATGGTTTTGGTCTCTTGGTTTTAAGATCTGGCATGGAGCCAGACCCGATTCTGACTCAAGCATATCTTGTCCTGCTGATTAAAATCTTGGGGTTGAAGGTGTCCATCCTGATCCCAAAGTCTATTCCTTTCTATCAGCTTGTGACAAACTCTCTTTCCTTAAAGGATCAACATGGCCTTCCTGGAGCTCACAGCAGAGAAAAAAGCATCAGAATGTAGGAGGCTTGTTTTTAAAGAACCATGTCACTTCTAAAATGGTAAAAAGAAAAGTCAATGCAAGTTCCACAAAATCTCTTCTGTATCTGCATTTATTTTTATCATATTTAGATGTATCTCCTGCAGAGATTACAAGTTCCTAAAAGCACTGAATGTATCTTCTGCATCTTTGAGTCCTCCAGAGTAGCCATCAGAGAACTTTGCACAAAGTATAAGCACAATAAATGTTTGATGGATGGGTTTCTGAACAGATAAGTAGATGAAACAAAGGAAGGCAGAGAACCAGTTCTTGGGCCAGCAAAGCAGCAGAAAGGGAGGCAGAGCCATCTGGTTTCACTGCCTTCCAATAAATTAAAAGCAAGAAACAATATCACGGAAAGACCCAGAAATGGGGGCGCCTGAGTGGCTCAGTCAGGTAAGCATCTGCCCTTAGCTCAGTTCATGATCCTAGGGTCCCTGGGATTGAGCCCCGTGTAAGGCTCCCTGCTCTGCAGGGAGTCTGCGTCTCACTCTCCCTCTGCCCCTCCCTCTGCTCATGCTTTCTCTCTCTCTCTCAAATAAATAAAATCTTTTTTAAAAAGACCCAGAAAGAACTGAATTCTGAAAATGACACTTTTAAGTTCCTTAGGGAGAAGGGGGCTAGAATGATAGAGTTAATGGAAGAGAAACAAGAAAGTTACTGAGATTAAGGTCTTCTCTTAAAGATGCCTTCTTCACAGGCTTGTTACTGAGTAAAAAGCAGCATTAATAGGACAATCTGTTCATTTTTTTCACCATCAGCTTCCTCCATCCCCTTTCTCAAAGCCCCAAACAAAGCACTTTCTCTGTACCCTCTGACTGCTACACTTTTCCCAGTAACACCATCTGGGCTGTGTTAAGGGAGGTCTAGGCAGAGATGGCATTTGGGGGCTGAAAGTGGGAGAGGTACTCAGATTTGGCTTTTCCTCACCTCTGGTACCTAGTCTGGTCTCTTTCTCCCTGAAATGTTCTTCACCTTAGCAGTCCCAGGGAGCATTCGCACAAGGGAGCGCCTTGGAATGTTCAACTCACTATTGAGGTCACAAAGAGGCAGGAAATGTCAGTGTAACGAGGCAAAATAACCAGTTGTGAGCTTGACAAGATCTGGGTCAGTGTTTCTTAACCCTTCTCATTCTTTGACTTACCCTTGGATGTCTAAATATACTAAAAAGACAGGTAGTTCTCAGAGAATAAGTGCTTGGGAGAGGCCCTGGAAGGGTCTGCAGGTAACTAAGAGAAAAGCAAAAGGACAGGAAAAAAGAAGGGAAGGAGAACAAGTTCAAAGAACAGTGAGGGGGGCAGCCTAGGTGGCTCAGCGGTTTAGCGCGCCTTCAGTCCAGGGCCTAATCCTGGAGACCCAGGATTGAGTCCCTTGTCGGGCTCCCTGTGCGGAGCCTGCTTCTCTCTCTGCCTCTCTCTCTCTCTGTCTCTCTCTCTCTCTCTCATGAATAAATAAATAAAATCTTAAAAAAAAAACAGTGAGGGATAGGGGGGTGTGGTGAAGGAAGGAGGGAGGAGGGCAGAGAACAAAAGGCATTCTGCTTAGCTTGGTCAGTGTGGACAGACTGTGGCAATTGCCTCCCTTGTAAATGAATGTGCTGGCTCCAGTTCTCAGAGAAAGTGAGGCTCACTTGTGAAGAAAGGCAGGGATAGCCCCTTCTTCGGTATGTATGTGACCATTGGTTCATTTCTCAACTTTGCCCATGAGACCATGACCTTCTCGAGCCTACAACTTGTTTATAATTATCTTGGTGTCCCCAGCACCTAGCACTATGCCCAGTGCATGGTTGATGCTCAACAGATGTTTGTCAAAAGAAATAAATCAAGAAAAGAAGAGCGGCTGAGCCAGAACTGTCTTAAGGGGGATGCTAGTGAGGCCACTCACAGGGGCTGAGGTCACCTGGGAAGCCAGGTTCAGGTATCTCATCATGGATGACAGTGTTGTTGATTCACCTAAGTTTAAATCCCTGTTACTATACCCGAAAGCTGTGTCAAAAGAAAGCATTTTAAATGAACTCTCTTCTCCACTAATTTTTGTGCAATAGTTTTCCCCACTGCGATGCCAGGGCTTAAAGTCACCCATGTGTCTGTGTGGCTTTCAGCAAGTTGCATAACTTCTTTGTGGCTCAGTTCCCCCAACTGTAAACTGGGATAATAACACCTACCTCATACAGTTGTTATGAGGGCTCAATGAATTAATACTTGTAAAGTGGTTAAACTGTGCCTGGAACAGAGTAAAAATTATATAAGCATGTGTCTTAGAAAATTGTTTGGGAAACACAGATTTAAGATTAGAAATCCTGTTTTTCTTGTTTTATATAGAAATCCCCCTTCTTTGTGTTCAATTAATTCCTGAGGGAAGGGTCTTCTAAATAGATCTGGCAAAGTAAGGGTAACCCTTTGGTTCAGCCCACTTCTTGGGCAACAGAAGTCTCTCCTTGAACCCCTTCTAGGTCAGGCACAGTTTGGGGAACACAGCCACCTGTAGGACTCAAATATTAGGGCAGGCCTAGAAGAAAAGGTATAGTTGGAAAGTCAAGAAATCTGATTTTGTTTTGGGTGGAGCCAAAAGACACAACTAATTTCCTTTATAGAAATATTATGTACTTTGTAATAGAAAAATACCTACTATGTGTCGCTTAATACTTGTCTCATTTAAGACTTGTAACCACCCCACAAAGTGGTTATTGTTTCTGTTTTACAGATGAGGAAACTGTAACTGGGAGAGGCCAGGTAACTAACCCAAAGTCACACAACTGGTTAGAAGCAGAGCCAGAGTTTGAACTGAAATCTGACTTGATTCCAAAGCCGTTTTGGCTTTCCCTGACACAAGTTCCAGAGCATGTGCTACAGGCGTGCTACCAGAAGACAGAAGGAATTTCAATCCGGCAGGGCAGGGACCCAGGCTGAGGTTTTCTTAGGACACCAAGGTTTCCTTAGGAAAAGCAAGTTGGTCTAGTTCTATAAGCCGATTGCAAAACCTCCATTGCTGAGTCATTGAACAGTGTCATGAAGGCTGGAAGGCAGCTCTCTAAAGCTACCTGGTCACTCCCACCCCCTTAGAGAAGTTCAATGCCAAATACACTTGATACTGAAAGCAAGTACCCCTCTTGTTTAACAAAGTTATGGCCAATCCTCCAAGGTCGAAGTTTCTTCTCAAACATCGTGCCCTTTAAGCGGTACAAAAAGATGAAGAGGGACAAGAGTTCTAGAAGGCCCTATGACAACTAGGAACAGGGCAGACCACAGATCTTCTGCTGAGACTCAAGAAGGGCCATAGAATCCCTTCAACTCAAATCCACTTTGCTGAAAAACTTTCATTGCTCCCACTTCCTCAAGAGGAAATCTTGATTTGGGGTTCAAGACCCTCCATTATGGAGTTCTGTCCCCCCCCCCACCTCATTCTCAACTCACCTAAAACTCTCCCAACTGCTTCTGCCACATGGGTTTCTGTTACCAAAGCATGCCAGCACTGCCTCGGGCCCTAACTTTTGTTCACACCAACCCATCTCTCCCTCATTCTAATTGCCCTGGCCTGAAGTGACATCGCTTCCTTCCTGGCCAATTCCAACTGGCTTCAAAATGCATTTGGTGATGAATTATATACTCCTGTGATGCCCTGGACAACAATTCTATTGTTTGGAGTTGTTAAATAAATCCTTTGTTGTTAAATTTTCACATGTTCATTTCTTGCCCCTCCAACTAAATTATCAGGGATTAGAAGGCAAGAGCAACGTCTAATTTATGTTCACTAGTTCATGTCCACAGTATCTTGCCCACCGCCTGGTGCCTTGTAGATCCCAAACATTTCTAGGTTTTTAAATACTGATCAACTCTCTTTCTGCTCCTGCCTTTCTGTTTGCTCAAGAGGATCTCGAGCAAATGAAAAGAAACCCAGCAGTATCTTTCTTTCATACTGAATCTGGAGGTTAGCGTTTCAGAGGATCCCTGCTGTCTCGTTAGTGAAAGTCCACTATGTGCCAAGCATTATGATAGGGCCTCACAGATAATGCTGGACAAAATCAAGCCGACAGGACCCAACTTGGGAGATCCCTTAAACTCTGGACCTAATTTCCCCAACAGCCTCAAAACAAACAGATAAAAACCAGCAACGCAAAAACCACTTCTCTAGATGGTTCCTATGAATACCTTCAGGAAGCATAATGGTCCTAAAAAGAGGGAGACCAGGTTATTTCAGCTGCTGTTGCTACTGCTCCCACCATAAAATATAGCACAGAAATGGAAACAGGATACAGATCTGTTAAACATAATTCTAATGTCACAAGGAGGCACTTTTACACTCAGGAAAAGGAGGCCATACCAGTGGAATGCAGCCAGATGTCTTCTTTCTAGCAGTTATCCCTATTATTCCAGAACTCCAAGAATCTCATGACTGACTGGGCTGAGTAGCTTGGGTCTTGCACTAAAAGCCATTGCTGTCAATCCACATCCTAAAGGGATTTCTTCTCTCGGAAGCCCTGCCTGCAGTTTCCAGGACATCCCAGATAAAGGTAGGATCTTTAGGGATGCCTAGGTGGCTCAGTCAGTTGAGTGTCTGCCTTCGGCTCAGGGTCCTGGAATCAAGCCCTGCATCAGGCTCCTTGCTCACCGGAGAGCCTGCTTCTCCCTCTGCCTGCCACTCCCCCTGTTTGTGCGCACGCTCTCTTTCTCTCTGATAGATGAATAAATAAATAAATAAATAAATAAAATAAATAAATAAATAATAATAAAATCTTTAAAAAAAGAAGATAGGATCTTTATATTAACATATGTATTTTTTAAGATTTTATTTATTCATGAAAAACACAAAGAGAGAGGCAGAGACATAGGCAGAGGGAGAAGCAGGCTCCTTGTGGGGAGCCTAATTTGGGACTCAATCCCAGGACCCCGGGATCATGACCTGAGCCAAAGGCAGGTGCTCAACCACTGAGTCAACCAGGCGTCCCAACATATATATATTTTTTAACTTCACAAGTTGATTTTCATATACAGCCAGAATTGAGAACCATTGGGCTTTGATTCTGGCCTCCTGGGATACACAGTGAAGGTCCCGCTTCCATCCATCATCTCCAGGCCCTGGTCTGGAGCAATCGCACAGCTCCCAGGTGTTAAGGAAAGCAGATGGGCTCTGAATATTCTGTACTCTCCTATACTCTCTCCTGGGGTCTTCTTTCATCTCAAGCATAGATTCCCTGTCCTCCATGAGCCTTTTCCTGTACACTTTGGCCCACTACACCTGCCCTCTGCAACAGTTATGATCCAACATCTGTCCAGCACATACTTACTCATCACGTGGCACTGGAATGCAGCCCCTCACATGGGCATTCTTTGTCTCCTGAAATCACAAGCTCCTCAGAGACAATAGCCATTCTTTGAACTTCTTTTTGTTCAGACAGGTATGAACATGGAATGGACATAAAAGGTACCTGAATACTGAGTGGAGAGATGTATTACACATCTATCATAAAGCAGGTAAACAGTAAACAAATAAAAGATGAAATAATTTCCCATATAAAGTATAATAAGAAATAAACCAGAGTAAAGATAGGGGAATGAATACAAAAATGAATTTATCAAATGTCTAGTAAATTTGAATTCCACAAACATTTAATTTATATCCAGCCAGGGTTTCCTACCAGATTGTAAAACCACTGGGTGCTCACACTATTTTGCTAAGGCTGGTACAACAAAGTACCAGGAACTGGGTAGATTAAACTACAGAACGTTTTTGTCTCACAGCCGAGAAGTTCTAAGTCCAAATGCAGAATGTCCGCAGGATTGATTCCTTCAACAGGCTTTCAGGGATCTGTTCCAGATCCCTCTAATATGCATCCTAATGACCTTACTTCATAACGTAATTCCCTTTGTAAAAAATTCTGTCTCCAAAAAATGTCACACTTGAAGTACTGGGTGTTAGGACTTGACCATATGAATTTTGAAGGAACACAATTCAGCTCATGACAGTGTCCACAAAGTTTTCACCTTTCCATTAGGATCTACATGCCACTGGGGTTTACCACTTCAAGATTATTTCAGTCAGTTTTAATCTCCTTGGGGGCAGGAACTCTGTTGTTGATACCTATTTTTCAAGTCACTAGGATCACGCCTGGCACATAGAAGATATTTCACAAATGTTAGATTGAATTCACTTTTGTTCAAGAAGACTCAGAGCAAAGGGTGAAGAAGCCATTTAACCCAGGAAATCAAAATAGGTTGATAGCCTGCAGCAATTCCTGAAACTCTCTGAGTCAAAAGGAAATTATGTTTCCATGACACAGAATCTGTCTCTGGATTTCTTAATTAGGGATATTTGCATGATGAGAGGAGACTTGCTTTCTCTCCTCTCAAATCAATGGCCTCAGCCTTTGACATCAGAAGTATCTCTACAGCAACTACATGAGTCACTGAGAGAAGGTCTGACTCTCAGTGGGGGAATGAACAGCAGGAAAGAGGGAAAACATCTTAAGATAGAGATCCCTTATCAGAATATACAGAGAAAAGAAGGGCCCATAGCTCAGCCTCTCAGTTACAAATATGGCAGAAAGAGCAAAATAGCTTTAACCGAGTGTCTTCCCATCTTGGAAATATGCTATTTCCCTTTCAACAGTACAAGGTCTCAAAAAGGTCTCAGTAAAAAGGTCTCCAAAGCCCCATACCAACTGGGCCCTTGCCCTCAGTCCCTGGACCAGCTGTGGAAAGCTCAACATCCAACAACCCAGAAAGAAGACATGGTGGGTATGAGAGGTATGAGCTCTTACCACCATCCTGCCTCACAATCATTGATTCATTGAGACCTCTTGTGTGTCTGTATTGTTCCCTACAGATCAGATAGGGTCATTCAATCTAGCCACCAAAGATTCTCTGAATGTGGGTATTCCTTACCTAAGGACATGCTTCCCATGTCTTCTTTCATCACTAAAAGCTTTGAATGAAGATCTCACTCAGCAAGGCTTTATCAGAGTGGACAGCATTCTTAAGATCTATTCAGAAAATCTAGAAAGAGAAATCAGATGGTTAAGCAAGAAAGAGTTCCCATGCTTTCTTTTCTATCAACTGGCAGCCTGCAGCAGGTATCAGTCCTCCAGGTTGGACACCAAACAAAACTCTAAGGAAGACTTTTGAAAGAGGATCCACAAAGCTAAGACAGGTCAACCAGAATTTCAAATACCAAATAAAGAAGAGAATCTTTTCCTCATACTGCTGTGAAGAGGCTACAGAAGAGCCACAGTGCAGCTGAAAACAGTTAAAAACCATTAAATCGGAGTTGTCAACAGTGCCTCTGAGGGAAAGACCAGAGATGGCCAAGACCAAATCCTTGAACTACAGGTTCCCAAGGGAGCTCTGGGGAGAGAACTCTTGCAGCAAATGCACACAGCTTATGATTGTAATCTTCACTCCAGGAAGTTGGACTAGACCATGTAAGAGCTGGGAGGAATTTGTTTTCCACTCTAGCCAAAAGCCTACATTAGTGTTTCTCAAATGAAATGAAGAAGATGTTTGCAGAGAATCATAAGGTTTCGCTGAGATTTTTTTTAATTAGGCTTTTTATTTTAATGATGCTATTAAAAATAATTCTTAGCTTGTTCTCAATCATCTGGGTGCTTTAGAATGCTCCGTGAAATTTCAGTACCTAAGGTTGCGCTTTGTGAAGGTTTTCACAAGCCAAGTTTAAATGGTGTCAAGGCCTGCTGTATAGTAAGGATACTGGAATGGTCTGACTATAAACAAAGTAGTGGGAGAACAAGTCATCACATGGCAAATGATAAATGTGGAAGATTGTGTTCTCCACAGATGGGCTCAGCAATATTCCTCGTCCTACATGCACCTTCAGAACCTTGTCACTATCTCATCAAGAGGCAAAGCCTGTATTTCCTCCCCTTTGATCTCCATGGGCTTTTGTGACTGCTTCAACAAATAGAATGTGGTAGAAATAATGCTGCATGATCTCCCAGGCTAAGTCATAAAGAAGAGCACTTTTTCCTGGCTCTTTCTATCTGAATCATTGTACTTGGAACATAGTTCTAAGTTGCAAAGAAGGTCAGGACCCATGAATAGACCACACCTAGGTATTTTGGCTGAAAGATCCAGATAAGGTCCCAGTGAGCACCCAGCACTGATTGCCAGGCATGTCAGCAAGCAAGCTTTATATCAGGGCAGGTTCTGAAATGGCCAAGTCTGACCCATCGGCCATCTTATGAATAGTTTTATTGGAACACTACCATGCCCATATATTTGTCTATGACTTCTTTTGTGCTACAATGACAGAGTTTAGTGATTACAACAAATTATATGGTCCTCAAGGGTGAAAATAATATATTGTTGGTTTTTTTTTTTTTTTTTTTTTTTTTTTTTACAGAAAAACTTTACTGGTCTCTGTATTAGAGAATTCTAGCTCCCAATCTTCAAGCCACCTCAGGTAAGTCCTAGTGAAGCAGAGATGAACCATCCTTACCACTCTCTCCCCAAATCATAGATTTGTGAGCAATACAAGTGTTGTTTTATGCCACAAACTTGGGATTACTTGTTTCATAGCAATAAATAACTGAAACAGTTTAATAAGCATGCTGTTTTCAAGAGGACTTGGCCAAAGTAGGTGATTCCATAATCAGATTCTACTGCTTAGAGCTTATCTTCGTGTTTACCAACTTGCAGCAGTTCATTAGCAGCAAGAAGTAGATAATTGCAATAAAGGATTTTTCCATTCCCAACTCTAATAAGAATTAGATTAGATGCCCCCTGTAATTCAGAGTTTAATAACATCACAATGCTAATCTTATTTCCAAGAAAAGAAAATTTTACATTATTATCTAGTAACACCTCATTAAAATTGGTCTTCAAGAATTGCTTGCTGGCATCTTATGGGTAAGTGTGTGGTCTGATTATCTTGCACTATCAAACCAAGCTTTGATGTTACTAGTGACATTTTCTATAACATACTTATGCAGTTATTCTCTGCATTAAAACATTTGAAGTCAAAATGCAGAAAAAATTAAATATACAGCCAAAACCCAAAGTCTTTTGATTATTAATCAATTTGGGGGTTTTGTTTCAGCAAAACATTGTCTCTCACATTAAATTTAATCATACAGGATTTTGTGGATTTTTAGGTTTAGTTTGATAATTTGGTTTGCTAATTGTGTAAGCTGCAAATAAAGCTGTGAGTGTAGGATTCATATGTACATTTTCGTGTGTGTGTGTGTGTGTGTGCATAAGCAAGATCAGAATAGGTGGTAGAGAAAATCTGTACTATATAATTTTTTTCCTTTAAAAGAGGCCTGTCCAGACACAAAAAGACAGATATTGTATGGTTCCTGACATGAGGTGCATAGAATAGTCAAATTCATAGAGACAGAAAGTAGAATAGTGTTGCCAAGGGCTGAGGATAAAGGGAATTAGGGAGTTATTATTTAATGGGTATGGAATTTCAGTAGGAGATAATGAGAAAATTCTGGAAATGGATGGTGGTGATGGTCACACAACAATATGAATGCATTTACTGCCATGGAATTTTATACGTAAAAATGGTTAAAATGGTAGATTTTGTGTTATTTATATTTTATCAAATTAAAAAAAGAGAGAGAGTCTGGTACCTTTCCCAAATCCCAGCCCAAGCCAAAAGCAGCTGA